TGCCTCATTGTTTAATCGGAGCATGCTAAGTAACACAGAGCAGCGATTTGAATGTGAACTTCCACCATGCTGCAAAAAACAAAACTCTTTTTAACACTGTCTCCACGCACCATATTCTACCCAGCTCTTTCAATAGAAATCATCCTTTCCCGATTCCGAGTAGTTTATGGACTTGCCTGCCACAACAGTCAACCAGAAACAAAGAATCTTTACAGACTGCTAAGTTTAACAAAAGCTGTAAATGTCTTCTGCAGATATGAAAACTTGAATCAGCCCAAGAGATTTTCTTTTCTTTCCTTACAAAATGAATGCTGTCATGAAGGCAAAATAAAATAAAGCAAGGCAAAAAAAAAAAAAAAAAAAAAAGCCAGCGTCTATTTGTGTATGCAGTCAATTGTGACAGCAACATACTGCATTACCAGCAGGGGCCTGGGCCTGGCCTCCTGCTCCACACTGGGCTTCATTTTCCTCCTGGGTAGTTCCCTAGATAACCCTCCTGTCAGAATTCAGCTCCCTCCAAAAGCAGCCAGGGATGAAATGGCCAGATGCTGGGTGGAAGGGCTGTACTAACATCCGCCAGCACCTACGCACAGAGACCTACCTCTGTGCACACAGTGTGTGGACTCAAACACAGGCTTTCCAGTATCCCTGCTGTGTGTCTCAGTTCGGGCTGTCCACATTCGGAGGATCTCACTTCACTGTGGTCCACAATTAAAGTTCAATAAATAATGGTTTTGGTGAGAATGCTGGTCATAATTTTGAATGAATCATTTGGAATAGGGATTCTCTAGCGGGGAAATTTATTTCAATAGAGGTTGTGCTTGCTGGGAGCAAGGACCACAGTGGCTCCCTTCTGTTTGGTGGCACTGTTAGTATAGTCATTTCAGGGAGCCTCAAAATTAGTCGATGGCCCACTGGTCTAGCCTTATCTCATCAGCTCTTTTTGTGGCAACCCTAGAAAACAGTTAAGAACGATGAGCCAAAAATGCAGCAGCAGGGAAAGCGAATCAGATCCTGTAAGTATCTGCAAAGACCTCTTCACAAAGGTCAGTGCATCAGGCCTTTGGTGTACAAATGCTAAGTTGCTACATTTCCTTTACTGCAATGACTTAGGCAATTTTCTGTCCCAACTGCAAGTCAGACACTTCTCCTGAGGAGTACAGTAAGAGTGAAGAACATACGAAAGCTGCAGGGTTCCTTAGCACCACTTGGCATTAATTGTCGTCATGAAAACATAATACTACCTTTCTCATCACTTCACACCATTACACCTCACCCACCCAACTACCTTCCAAGTGAAGGTTGGTGTCTTTCTTGAGACCTCTTCCAACTGCTCTTTCTGAGCCTTCAAAAATGGCTACCAAACTGAGCAGCCAAGAGTAGTGAGATGGGGATAGGGCTGACTGTCCAGAGAAAAAAGGTGCGTCCCATAGGAATGAGGCCAGGAGGCAGGGGCAGGAATGCACTGGTAAGGGCGCTTCGGTCAGAAGCGCCTAAGTATCAGGAAATATAATTCTAGCTCCCTACAGAAGCGCTGTACATGAGATTAACTGTGCTTCCATCCACCCCAGGACACAGGACACTGCTCAGACTCCACACAGCAAGGAAAACCTGGGCAACAGCCAGGACAGAAGAACAGAACGTTCTTCATCACACTGTCATTTAGCTTCCAGGAACGCTGCACTTGGTGGTGAGTAGCTATTCCGTGAAGACGTTTGGCATGATCACAGGGGGACTGTGCAAGCATGCTAATGTTTCCAGAGATATTCGGCTGAGGTGAAATCTGGAGCTTGCCCTCACGACATGCCAGGGTAAAGAAACAGGAAGTTAATAAATACAAGGAAAGACTCTCCTGGTTTTCTGGGTGACTAAACATCAAGTCAAACTCAACTGATATACAACAATGAGAGGTGGATATCTTTTACATATATTTATTTAGTTTTAAGTTTTTTGAGACAGGGTCTTGATGCATAGTCTCAACTAGTCTTAAACTGCATGAACTTTTCAATTGAGTTTTGTAGGGTGAATATTAATTCTGTAAATACTGTGTGTTTTCTGAATTTGAGTGGTATACAATAACATGAAATAAAATTTCTCAGCTTTAAAATGATGCTATAAGCCAAAATTTGATAGCTCTCTTTACTATTAAGTTGTATCAAAATTACACTCCTATTTAGGCTTTGTAAAAACATATTGGTTCATATTTACAAATCAAATAAGTTATAAGACAACATTTTTCTAATCAGTTTATTATCCATTTGGAATATAATTACCATTCTCCTAAGATGCAGAAGTAATTTTAAACAGTTCTATAAGCCCAGAGGAAAGAGTAACTTTCAAGTCATCAGCCAAACACAATCAGTAAATAATTCCAATAACCTGCTAGATTTTTCTTTTTGCATAGTTTGCCAAATGGGAACATGCTTTAAGGTATAGCATAGGATTCAGACTTACTAAGGCCACAGCCAGTGCCAAACTTACAAGTGTAGCCAGAACAGAAAACTGGATACAAACAGAGCCATTTCAAGAGGGTCCTTGTGTCTCACTCTAGTTAATTATTGAAATCCCATCATTAGCAGGCTTGTGTTTCAGCCCAGGTTTTCAAATTAAGGAGAAGGCAGAGTTTCTATGGGGAGAACTTGCACATGGGACAAATGGCAAATGTGAATACAGTTTTTACAAGCAACACTGGACAGGTACAGGTAGCACTTCCCAAAGAAAGACGTGGGATGGGTGTGGGAGCTCACAAGGTGCATTCCACAGCTCTGGCCACTCACATCTTTCAGATACACAGCACACCAACCATCGTGGGAAAAACAACTGAAAACTTTAAGTAGCTGGAGAACAAAAACAAAAACCAACTTTCTCATTCTAATGTCAGAGGCCAAGTCCTGAATAGCCTGGAGGCATTCTGAATACAAGTGTGCTTTAGAATTCCTGGACGGCTCAGAAAATCTTTGTCAGGCCTAGGAAAGAAACTGGGAAGACACTCACTGTTTGGTTTTGGCCATATGAAACCACCTAGAAAGATAAAGTGATACATTTTAGTGGTTCAGATTGAGCCTGATAACTATAAGTTTGTATTCATCACTTAGTAAAAGGCCAGTCAAAAAGATCAGTAAGAACTATACACTGAGAAAGACAAAACTGAGCCTTTCTACTTGTTCTTGTAGAAGAGAGGTTTTTTAAAATCAAGTATCTTTCATGAGATGAAAGAAAGAGAAAATATAGCCCCCAGCCAGGACATTGCCTCAGAACCATAGAGAGTATGCAAGGAAGTAGGACAGAACCCACAGTTGTACCCCAGTGGGTGGACCTCACCGTGCTGCTCCTCCTGGTTCCTTTGTTGGCCTTGTCTTCCTGTATTTTGCTCTTTCACTAGAAACCATTATTTACAGATAAGGCCCTGTCCTTCCGTTTTACCTCTCGTAGGTATTACACCATGCATTAGCTATAGAAGCACACACTGTAGCTTATGAGTGATTCTAGTATTTTATTGGCAAGAACTTCTAATAATTGTGATTTTGGTATGAACATATTCCATATCCTCAATATGTGTCGAGTAGACTGATACATCATTTCTTCTGCTGAATTTTTATTTTATGAAATACGGACATTTATAAGGGAGGCGTATACCACAACTTTACACTAAATTATTTTGCCTTAACCAAGGGAGCTTTCTATTAAAAGAGCCACTATATATCATCCAGGCTTTTCTGATATTGGTCAGGATTACTTAGCATTTTGCTAGTCTTTGTTAATTTTCATGTTTTAAGGACTCTTTAAGTAGAACAAAATGTGTGCTATTTGATTTACAAAGAAATATTCATTTCTAGGTTACTGATTTGGGGATTTCTGATGGTATTTAGAAAATTTAAGAACTACTTCATCATATGAAATCAGTTTTCATGCAACACAATGAATGTGAATTCGGCAGAGGCGTGAATCACTTCCTCTTATTACAAAACTACACCTCAATGGACCAACTTAAGAATTCTCAAGAACAAGAAACAACATGCTGGAAGGGTTTTAGTGCCTCAAAATCTTACATATGATCTTCTTTTCTTAATTAAAATCCCTGAGAGTGTATTTATTAGATGAAACCTATAAGGCATGGAGCTAAATGGCTGAACAACAGTGCTCTCATAATTCCTAAGGCAGCTATTTATGGGTTGGGATACAGTTCTCTGAACTGTGTTCCAGATCTGCAGTTAAGATATTTTTCATCAAGTTCAAGACTATAATAGATGGCCTTTCAGAAAGGCCCCCAGGCCTGGCAGGATCTGTTCTAGCGCTGATAATTCTAAATGACATAATGGGAATGAGGTGGGCAGTGGGGTGGGGAAGGGATTTATAAAGCAGAAATCATATTTCAAAGTGATATTTAAACTCTCAAAACCGACCTTCTGTTATTGGACTTCACTGTGAGATGAGAAAAATCACACAAGGACTGCATGTTCTCAGGTCTTTGATATACAGTTGGATACAAATGTAAATTCTTATTAATGATGTCCCATAATTGATTAAAAAGATTAAATTTAGTTTCTTCAGAAACACATTTTTATTAGCAGTGTTTTTAATCTGTTGTCTATTTTCTGTGCTTTATGAGTCATGATTTAGGTAAACAGAAATCTTAATACAGTACTAGGAAAAGAAACAAAAGGCTGGTTTTCTTTACTCTGTATCTGATCGGTCCTCTTTGACAAGTAGACTGGTCTGGGGGCTGGGAATTTAGCTCAGCAGCACAGCGCCTGCCTGGCAAGTGCAAGGTCATGAGTTCAATTGTTGGTACCGGAAAAAACCAAAACCAAAAAAAAAAAAAAAAAACTGGACAAGTAGACTGATAAATGTATTTGTGTCTACATACCTATTCCCTGCCTTCTATTACACTTTCTAGATTGAAAAGTATTAAATATGGCAACACTGTTACATAATCACGTCATTTTATGGTGTAATTCCTTCCTTAACTAATACAAGCACATTAAGAAGAACACCCCTACCTTTGAAAGTCTTATCTGAAGTTGTCCTTCCTTTTAATTCTTTAAACCAAAGGTCGTCTTAGCATTGCTCTGTGGATTGGAGAATAGGGGAAAATGTTAACAAGACATTGGTTGTCATCAATCACAGTAGATTGTCAATACATTAACTCCAACTGACTCCCTGATGGGAGACACAATTACAGAGCGAGCCCTGCAAGGGAAGACAAATTATGAATACATTTGCCAGAACATCTCTCTGCTGGCTTCAATCAAAAGCGACAGCAGAGGGGTGACTAGAAGTCTGGTGGACATCCCATAAATGGATTCCAGGCTAAAGAGTCCTGTCTGCTTTTTATTTTCATTTTAGAGAATAGAGGGTTATATATATATAGTATGTACGTAAGTACACATACATATACACACATATAATATATATACTATATGCTGTATATATATGTACAATATATATACTATATATATAGTGGGTGAAGTATGTCATTACTGTGGGCTTACTATTATTATTTTTAATTAGTAGCACAGGAATTACCTTTCTATGTTTGAATGAAGTTCAGTGAAGATCATGAATAGATACTGCATCAGCCAACCTCTGAGGACAAAGTTCCACCTGGCCTATGACCAAGGCTCAGCTACAGAAAGCTCCAGACTTAACCACATCCAATTCTATTGGCCTCAGTCTCAATCGTTCCTTTGCAAACATTCCAGCTAAAAATTACCCACAAAAAGAAACCACAAATGGGAGCTAGAACAATCACAGCTGAGCATGTCACATTTCATTCTTTAGGCAGCCAATTCAGTGATACCCAGGGTTTTCTGAGAGAGGGTTTGTGTCTTTTTGGAATTTTGGTTTTTGAAAACAGAAGTCATACTATCAACCTCTGAAAACATCTTTCAGAGGGGAAAAACAAGTATCAATTGAAGAACTCTGGCTGCACTCAAATATGAGGACTTACCATGAATTGCAAAATTATCCCAGGAATGAAATAGAAAAGCATGAAATAATCTCTGCTCCTTTAGTTTGTGCATGTGTTATAAAATAATTCTATTTTATTTTACTAAAAAAATGATCTGAGCTACATGTAAAACTACTCTTTATAGATTTTCATTGCCTCTAATACAATGGTATTTTATCAAGATTCAATATTAGTGTTGTGGAAGTGGGTGATTCTTAGAGTTAAACCAATTTTAAAGTAATAAAGGCTTTCTTGTCATTCTGGTTCCACTTTTTAAAAAACCCTCTAAGGTGTGCAGGAGAAAGTATACAGAAATTTGAAACTGTATCTATGGTAACAATTTAATTCAGCAGATTTATTTAAGTATTTAATATGTATCTGTCAATACAATGGATAGATCTAGTGCAAGAAAAAAATAATAAAATACAAATAAGACATGCTTCCTACCATCAGAGACCTCAGTCCACTTATTGATCAGGCAAACAGCCAGAAATACCGCCTGCCACCCCAAAACACAGTATTTTTAGAGTGCTGCAAAACCACAGAAGAAGGCACTAATTTTACAGTGGGATCTCAGGTCAGCTTTCTAAAGGAGGTACAAATAGAGTGGAGGTTTAAGGTGGATACAAAGGGCATTCTGAGAACAGAGAAGGCAGGTGCAAGGCAAGGGGCAGTGACTGAGTGAGTGGCAAAGAAACCACAGGCACAGCAGGAGATTGGAAAGAAGGCAACAGCAAGGCTGTCCAGGTCATTTGGAACCAGAATGCAAAGGGCGCCAGCCACTTCAGCAGCCTGGACATTAACCTGAGAACAGTAGAGACACACTGAAGATCTTAGATGAGAGGAAAGAATATTTGTCAGTAGTGGGAGAGACAAGTGGGCAGAGATTGGTTAGGGAGACTGCTGAGGAGGTGCTCTAGCAGCCAACATCCAAGGTTCTCAGTTTCCAAGGTAACCATTGCCTCCTTCCCAAGTCCACCCCCAAGGCACATACTGACTCCTTCCTGAGATGCATCAGGATACACAGATGGAAAGAACTTGAGATTAAGAATGCAAACTGGGCAATGGTAATTGTTATTATTCCATATCTCTTATTATACTAATGAAATAATTTTGCAATTTTTGTCTCACTATTTGAATGCACCTTTATGTGTGGAATTTTGTAGGCTGGCATGTGGGTGTGATCCTGGTCCCCTCTTCGGAACCCTGTCATCTCTTGCTCCACCATCTCTCTGCCCCGGGGGAGCTCAGCCCTGTGCTTCTGACCCTCCCCAGAACCTGAAGCACAGACAAGTTAAATAAATGACTCTGAGTAATACAGCTGGAATACTAAATTCCCTCTGTGTGAATACAAAGGCTGTGCTATTTTACTGTACACCATAGTGTTAAGAGAGGACAAGGACAAACTTGGGAGGCACCACTGAGATTTAAGAAGAGGGCAGCAGAAGAGGAAGCTGCTAGAAAAAGTAGCCAGACTGAGAAAGGCATGGAGAAAGCCAAGAAAGACCGAGGTCAGGAAGAAAGAAGGATGGATGGAGAGAGTCCAAAGGTTCAGGAAGGATGCAAACGGAGTTAACTCTGTTGCTGCCAGTGAGGAGTCCCCACAGCTCTGAGTTGGAGCCCTCAGGACCATGTCTCCTACGTTCTATGGTCTAACGAAAGCCTCTGTGTCTCCTATTGTCCTTTCATTTCCAGGCTCCCTTGCCAAGTGTATTTTTTTTATGTTTCACAAAGAAGGCAAGTACGAAAATGCTGCTGGGCAGAGTATGGACGAAGCATTTGAACAGACATTTTGAAAGGAAGTCAAAGGAATGTGGTTCTTTCGATAAGTGTTGTTTGTTTTTTGCATAATTTAATTCAGGGCAAAATGTTATGAACGAAGCACGTAAGTAATTTGCATGGGTATGGTTCCAAGGCATTGTGTGGGAGGATCATTTCATCTTTACTTGTATCACTGACAGAGCCACATTTTTAACCTCCATGTGGCAATTTAAATCCACAAGCCTCTGCAAAGACCACCAAAAGACTACATATTAATTGTATCACCATGTCAGCAACTACGCCAAACGTTTCTAAGAAATGAACTTTTGTTGCATTCATTATTCTTCTTTGACAACTGCAATGGGCTTTCCTCACTTTGAAATGTATTTAGGTCAACAGAATAGGGTAATACATCATTGCTAAGGACTATTTTTCCAATAACCAAGTAACAATTTATTTTTTAACCAAAATACCATCAACTTATTGTGTTAAGTAAAAACAGTCCTAAGTCAAATGGTTGAGAAGGAGTTTGATGTATTTTACAAGTAGCCTTCAGAAAATATGAATAGCAGCTAGGTAAAAAATGTAAAAAAAAAAAAAAAACAAAACCAAAGGTAATAAGCCAATTATAATGAAAGTAATTCAGAATATATATATATATATGCATAAATAATTTGTATGTATAATATGAAAAATTTAATGACTCCAAAAAGTGAATACTTAGGGGCTGGGGATTTAGCTCAGCAGCATAGTGCCTGCCTGGCAAGCACAACATCATGAATTCGATTCCTGGTACCAGAAAAAAACCAAACCAAAAAGTGAATACTTGCCTTAGCAACTACTAGAAAAATAAAATAATGGACTTCCTAACTGCCCCAAACTAAATTGCTATTGATTGGTATATATATTTTGCAGAATTTTTTGTTTTATTTTAAAACAAGAATCCTTAACATTCAGTACAACTGAAAATCAGTCACTGCAAACCACTATTAGGTTAATAAGTATCAGGAAGCAAAAATGCTCATAATTTTATTTGATTCATACTTATGGCCCAACTGTGAAGACACTAACAATATTTATTCTTTAGTTCTTGTGAGACCATTTCTAAAAACTGGTCTCTTGAAAGAGATGGCTAAAGGTAGGTGACACTGACATATCAAGTGCTTGACCCCCCCTACCCAATTCTGTGTTCAACTGTGACAACTATTCCCTGCTAACAGCCCCCTCCCCTTCCCTCCCCTTCCCCGTTTACTGTCTTCCCACTTTCCTCCCTCTCCTCTCCCTTCCTTTCTCCTTTGCCTCTCCTTTGCCTTCCTTTGCCTTCCTTTGCCTTCCTTTATTCTTCCTCTTTTATTTATTTTTTGGTTTTTAAACGGCTGGGAGAACTCAAGCCACAGAAAACTAGTCCCGTTCCCTAAATCTAAAGACAAAGATCAGACCCAAACCCAGCACAAATCCACCCGCAATCTTGGCTAGAGTACACATTCTGGGATCAGACATGGACCTACCACAGAACTGTACACACCAGAGGAATCTCACGACTTCTATTTTTCTCTGTCTGATGGGTTTTCCTTTTGGTAGTTGGCTAGGTTACTGTGTTTTGATTTGGGGGGGTTGTTTTTTGTTTTTGTTTTTTCCCTATTCTTTATTCTTTTTAATTTATTTTAAAAATAAAAGGAAAACATATTAACAAACAGGCATCCATTTACAAAATAGCATAAGAACAATACAAGCAATACAGAGTTACAGACAAAGTGGTAGGAAATTAACAATACTTATTGTATTACATATTGATATCTTCAAAGTGATTTCTCAGGACTTTTTTCCGTTTTCTTTTCTCCTTTTTCCTCTGTTCTGTTTTGTTGCTTTTTCCTGTGTGTTCTTTGTTTTTCCTGTGTGTGGTTATTTTTCTTCCCTTTTCCCTAGTCTTTTTTCCTCTTCTTTCTCTTTTCCACCTTCTTTTCTCTCTCATTCATGATTTAGATCTCTAAATTTTCTCTGTGTGTTGTTCTACTCATCTTCTTCCTCTCTTTGGTCAACTGTCTTCCTTGATTTTATGATAATTTCATACAAGTAAACACTGTCTCTTCTCTTTCACTTCAATACTCTTTGGCTTTCTTTTCCAATCCTTCCCTCTTGTATCCTACAATTACCCAAAACTTGGATAATCATCCTATGTCCTCCACCCTTGCTCCTACTGTATTTAACCTTATCTACCTCTCCATTCTACCCCCTATCCCTCTTAAAAACCCCAAGCCCTACAGGGTAAAATCATTCTACTATGTGAAAAAACATTACATATATGTTCCTGGATATTATATAACTATAGAATTTACAACTACGATTAAAGATATCAGG